CAAGAGTTTCATGAGGACGAGGCGTATTGAAACTACGCTACCGACAAAAAATGCGCACCGTACGATCGAAACTAATACTTTTGTCGAGCACTGCGTCGCCGCCGTTGTGTGACATGTATGGCAACCGTTCGGTAAAACCGATGCATGACCAGCACGGAAGGCGAACCAGGAGAGCGTGGTGTTGGTTTCAGCCCCATGGTTCAAAAAGAGTGGAATAACGGATTCGTGCTTTTATATATATATATATATAGATATGTGTGTACGTGCTCAAATATGTGTTGTCGAATGTGTATCGAGAAACTGCATGTATATATACACATACGTATATGTTTGTAGATTTCGATCCCCCACAAGTGTTGGTAAGAGTGAGGGGCATGTAGATTGAGTTGTTGTGGTTACCAGTCTCGAGCGCCAGTGTCAAGAAGCACGCCGCGGGCGCACATGTTCCCGAAACCAGTAGCCCACAGCGGGCGCCGATTGTTTGCAAAATGATGCGCGTGAATCGTTGGGCGGGGCATCGACGGGTCGGGATGCTCGAAAGCCGATATGATGATGCCCGCCGCAGGCCCCGATTTGTTTCCTGGTCCAATACAGCGAACCCGCCGCAGGCGGCGACTTTTGGTAACGACTCAGTGTGTGAGGGTCGCGGGCGTGGGTCGCAGCCGTGGTTCTCAGGTGGGTCGCGGGTGTGGGCCGCGGGTCGGCCGTGGGTGCGGCGCGGGTGGGTCAAGGGTGGGTCGAAAGGCTTCGAAATGGGCGTCCAAGGCCCCTGCATCCTCATCGCGAATCCTTATGATGCGGGCCGGCTGCATGTATTTCTGGTGCTGCGTCAGGACGAGATTGCAAAGCTGGGCTCGACCCAATCGTTCGGATGCAACTCCTGGGATGTCGATTCTGGTTCTGCCCTGGTCCGAAATCCGGTTTAATCCCTTTAATCCGGTTTAATTCCGCTTAATCCCGTTAAATCCGGCTTAATTATTCCCACTTAATCTGAGGCCCGCTCTTGCGCAACAGCCCCCCAAACGGGCGTAATCCTCCCTTATCCTTCCGACGAAGGACTCCCAGAAGATGCTTCCTGACAATCGGTGTCCTTGCGATTTCGCGGACGGGGATGCAGATCGTGCCCGCGCAGCCGGGGGCCGCGCTCGCAGCACGGCCCTGGTGTCTGCCTCGGGGCAGCGCGTCCCCGGCCGCGGCAGGCCGCCCCCCCCCCCCCCCCCCCGTGGTTCTCGAAATGGCATGTGGAGGAGGAGGAGGGGGATGAGGGAGAGGCAGGAGGAGGCCGTGAGAGGCGGTGGGGAGGAGGGTTCGTGGGAGGGGGAGGCTTATTCTTATGGGGAGTATGGGGAGGGGGAGGCTTGATGCGGCGGCGTCGGCGTCGTCGGCGCGGTAGGAGGATGCTGTAGGAGAGTGCGGCGTCGGCTTCTGCGGCGGACCGCTGCGTATTCGGAATCGCTGTGCGTGCTTCCTGAGGAGGCTGCTGCATGCGGCGTCGGCGGCGTCGGTGTCTTGGCTGCAAATGCGCGGCGGAGGAGGATGAGACTAGGAGGAGGCGGAGAGGAGGAGCTTACGCAGGAGGCGGCGGTCTTGGCTGAGGCTGATGATGCGGCTGCTTCTTGAGTCGTCGATTGTAGTGCGGTAGGAGGAGTACGGTGCTGCTCGGCTGCGGAGGCGGAGTGAAGCGGTCGGCGTCTGCGCGGCGGCTGATTCGTCGGCGTAGGCAGCAGAGTGAGCAAGACCGTGTCCGAGTCGGCGGTCGGCTCGGCCGGAGTCGGAGGAGGCTGACGCGGCGCCGGAGGCGGACAGGAGGACGTCTGGCTATGCGGGAGGAGGAAGGCAGGCGGAGGGATGACGGACTGGCGCGCGTCGGAGTAGTATGCGGAGGTCATCTGGAGGGGCAGGAGGCATGAGGCGGCGGAGCGCCGGACGCGGCGTAGGCGGGGGGCGGGGGCGGCGGAGGAGTAGGCGGCAGAGGCGGCGGAGGCGGAGGGAGGAGGAGAGGAGGGGAAGGGTCGAGGGGGAGGGGGGAGGGAGGGGGAGTGGTAGGGGGGAGAGGAGGAGAGGGATGGAGGAGTGCTGAGAGGAGAGGAGGAGGAGGAGGAGGAGAAGGAGGAGGCAGAGTAGGAGGAGGAGGCAGAGTAGGAGGAGGAGGAGGAGTAGGAGGAGGAGGAGGCCCTCCTCCTCCCCCTCCCCTCCCCCTCTTCTTCTTCCTTCGCATCCTGCACCTGAGGGGCTCCAAATTTCGCCTCGACCGCCAGGAATAATTTCGAGCGCCACGCCCTCCCGGGGAGGGTCCGGCGCAGGCTGGAGCAGCAGAAGGAGGAGCAGGAGGCAGAGGAGGAGGAGAAGCAGGAGGAGCAAGAGGAGGAGGAGGAGTTGCCCCTCATTTCCCCGAGGAGGGCGCGGAGCTTGAGGCCAGGTGCTCCGAGACGGGCGAGGACTGCAGGAAGCGCGCCCCGCGCCCTCCTCGGAGGCTCGAGGATCGAGATTCGGCTCGAGGCTTCGGGGCTTAAGGCCTCCTCCCCCTTCTCCTCCTCCTCCTCCTCCTCCTCCTCCTCCTCCTCCTTCTCCTCCGCCTCACCTCTTCCTCCTCCTTCTCCTTAAACCCCTTCTATATTCCTTCTCCTCATCCTACCTCCTCCTTCCTCCTCCTCCTCCTCCTCCTCCTCCCCTCCTCCTCCCGGCCTCCTCCCCCTCCCCCTCCCCCTCCCCCCTCCCCCCTCCCACTCCCCGTCCTCCTCCCCTCCTCCTCCGCCTCCTCCTCCCTTCCTCCTCCTCCTCCTTTCTCCGCCTCCCTCCTCCTCCTGCTACTCCTCCTCCTCTGGCATCCTCCTGCCTCTCATCCTCCTCAGCCTCCTCCTCCTCCGCCTCCTCCTTCTAGACTCCTTGTCCTCCCCTACCTCCTCCTTCCTCCTCTCCTCCTCCTCCTCCGCCTCTTGCCTCTCTTCCTCCCCCTCCTCCGCCTTCCTCCTTATCCTCCTCCTCCTCCTCCCTAACCCCTGCTCCTCGTCCCGCCTCCTCTTTCCTCCTCCTCCTCCACCACGTCTTCACCCTCTTCTCTCCTCCTTATCCTCCTCCTTGCCTCTCCTCCTCCCCCTCGCCTTCCCTCCTCCCTCCTCCGCCTCTGCCTCCTCCTCCTCCTCCTCTGCTCCCATCCTTCTTCTCGCCCCCTCCTCCTCCTCCTCCTCCTCCTCCTCCTCCTCCTCCTCCTCCTCCTCGTAGGCCTGGTCGTTTTGACTCCGTTGTGCAGCACAGGCGGGGCGAAGACAACGGGGGAGAACGAGGGAGGCACATTGTGCAGGTCGAGCCTTGTTTCGTGTTGTCTGCGCGTTCCGGGCGGCGCCCTCGTCGCCCCAGCTGGATCTCCCTCGAAGCTTTGGCCAGGGCACGCCCCTGGTCGGATCCAGGGGCCGCTTTTTGTCCAGGGAGTGGAGGGTCGAGGACTTTGTCGTCGTGCTCGTCTTCGTCGCCGTCGTCGTCGTCATCGTCGTCGCTCCGCCGCCGCCGCCGCCGCACTCGTCGTCGTCGTGTCGGGGGAATGGGGGGAGAAGAGGCGACACCGCCAATCGAAGGAGGAAAAACACCCAAACATAAGTTTTTTGCGCGGCGCACGGGCCTCCCTTGTCGGCGCCTCTAGCGCCGCCCCTAACGCGCTCCGCGAGCCATTGGGGGGGGGGACCAGCGCAGATCCAAGACAGAAGGGTGGAGTTCCGAAAGTTTATGTTCATGCCGCTTTGTTGTTCCTCTGACCAATGCCGGGCCACCTCCAGCGAGGAGGGCCACCAACCTCCCGCGAGTTTGAGATTGGAGAGGTCTCGAGCGGGACGCTGCGAAACAGGGGGCCACGCTGCCAGGAGAGCCCTCCCTGACTCTCTAGGGATGGACGTAGGTGGAGCTCCCTGTGGGGCGTGATCCTTGTGAAGGGTGTGCCGACACGGGCGGGGGAACGCCAGCCAAGCCTGTCTCTTGAGCTGCAGGTGGAGCTCCCCCCTGAGGGCACGACCCGTGCGACGATCGACGTCCGCACTTTCTACTACAACTGGAGCGTGCTGGAGCCCAGCCGCGCGTGAAGCGCGCGCGCGTGGTTCTGGTTGCCGTGGAAAGCGCGACGTTCCCACGTCAAAAATCAATGGACGTTTTTAGGGGAACAAAAGGTGACGGGGGTCAGCCAGAGCGCCAGGGTGCGTGCACACAAAATCTTGCCAAGTTGGTTGACACTTAACAGCGCTGCACCTCGTGGACGCGTGGTTGTTCACCCCATGTGCAGTTCCTCCTATTTCTTGCAGATGTAGACTCACACTGCTTACGCTGGGAGGGAGACGGGCACTCTGCCGCGTCCCCCGAAATGCGGAGCAGGAGCAGACGGGAGAGGCTCAGCAGCAGCAGGAAGGGCAGCAGCCAGTGAGGCTCGATGGTACTCGGGTCGGGAGCCTAAGAGACGGGGGCCCGTGCAGACGGGGGTCAGCCAGAGCGCCAGATCCTGCAGGATCCTGCGAATGCCCCCTCTGGCTGCCCCAGGCTGGCGAGCCGCTCGTGGCCGCGAGGCGGCCGCTCGTCTGCGAGGACCAGGGTCTGCGAGGACCAGCACGGCAGTTTTTTGTTTCCTGCACTTCCAAGGGCTCCCTCGAGGGCGCGAAGTTATTCGCGCTTCGCGGTCCTCGTTCCTTCTCCCCCTCCTCCTCGTCCTCCTATTCTCCCTTTGGGAGGGCGGCGCGAGAGCGCGAAGTTATTCGCGCTTCGCGCTTCGCGCAGCGCGAAGCGCGAAGTTGGGAGCCCTAGCTGATGACCCGGGTCTGGAGTGACCCGGGTCAGAAGATCCCCGACGTCCGCGCGCACGACCTGCGTGCACCGGTACTGATCGCCGGCGTTTTTCTTCCGAGGGGCCGTGGAGACTCGGTGCGTGGCCGTGGCTGTTTTGCTTCGGCCTTCGGGGCCGAGGCATTTCGGCGGCGAGCGATGGGGGGAAGTGAGAAGGAGAAGGCCTTTTTCATATGGTTGCGTGGCTTCAGAAACTCTCGCACCTTTTGAGAAGTTGTCTCTGTGTCTTCGGTGAAGGTTCAGAAAGCTTCTCAGCAGGCAGCGGGACTCCCGAGCCTTCTGGGATGGCCGCCCTTTTTTTCCATCCCTCCTTCGCCGCCAGTTTGGAGCCGAACCATTGTTCAGAGGAGAGAAAGGTACCCATACCGGAACCCATCCTTCGTTTTTCCCTTTTTGGGCCTCCTGGGCGGCTTTCGTCGCCACCGCTGGATTCGCCTTGGAATTCTGGTCAGCATGCAGTCCAGCAGAGGTCTGGGGAGAAGCGGTACCCGTATTTTTTTGTTTCCCAAGTTGATCGGTTTCCGTGCACCATGCCGCGCTGAGGCGGGGCCAGGAAGAGAAGAAGAAAGCACGGCATAAACAGAAGTGTTGGGAGCTCCGCGCGGGTTTCTCGGATCGACGTTGGGCCCCCCGCCCTGGCGCGCGGAGCGCGCCAGGGGTGGTGCCGGAGGCGCCGCGTGGGGGGGCTCCAGTTGTCTGACACTCTGCGAAAGGAGCCCAAATTTGGTACGGTGCATGGGCACGGTTCTCGTAGGAGGAGGGACGTGTCAGGGGAGCGGAGCTGCCCGCTGCTAGACTCAAGGAGCACGGGGTGTTGCGCGGACTCTTCGATGGAGTGCTTCGAGAAGAACAGGGAGTGGGCCACCTGCATGGAGACGTGCGAGCCTGGAGAGCACGAGGAAACCCGTCGCCCGACAAGGGGGGGGGGCGGGCGTGAGGGGGGCCGAGGAGGGAGGAGGGCGAGGGTGGAAGCGAGAGGGAGCGGGCGGCAAGAGAAGGGAGATGGATGAGGAGGAGGAGGAGGAGGAGGAGGAGGCTCCCTCTGGCGGCCGAAGGCTGGAGGTAGGGTCTCGAGGGCGCCACCTGCAGCAGCAGCAGCAGCAGCAGCAGCAGGAGGCATGTCCGCAGCCTTGGCCGTAGGAGGGGGTGCCGCACGTCGCTCATGGCCTGGCCTGCTGCGCTTCGGGAGCGCGCGAGGAGCACGGGAAGGCGCAGGAGAAGGGGGGAGGGAGGAACGCTGCGGGGGGAAGGGCACGGGGGTCGAGGGACCCGGCATCGCTCGGACGTGTGTTTTTTTTCTCGGCGAGAACCATCGAGGACCATCCTGGACCATCGAGCAAACACAAACAAGCACGAAACAGAAAAATGCACGGGAAATGGACGTCCGAGCGATGGCAAGGGGAGGGCGGGGCGAGGGAGGCAGGAGGAGGAGGAGGAGGGGCACGGAGACTCCGGAGGAGGGTCCCTGGTGGCTTGCGGGTCCTGCCTCGCGCCTCCGGCCGCCGTTCGGGACGCTTGGGGCACCCCAGAGCGCTCGCGACGGCGCGTGGCCGCGGAAACGGCGGGCCGGGAGACGTCTGGGCTGGGAGCGAGGCGAAGAGACCTTGGCATCGCTCGGACGTGTGCAGTTTTCCTTCGGCGAGGACCGTCGATCAGCATCCTTGATCATTCGGCGAAAAACCACGCACGAAACCGGAAAAAGCAAAGGGAATGGACGTCCAAGCGATGGCGAAGAGACGCGGGAGGAGGGGGACGAGGCGGAGAGGGCTGTTCTGGTGTTTTTGTGGTTACCCCAGGGCTGGCTCATTCAGAGCGTGCGCCCGAGAAAACCCGTAACCGCCTCCGCAACGGCACTGCAGCCCTGTTGCATACAAGGCCTTGGGTCCATCTGTGCACGCCCATCCTGAGTCGGGCGCAGGACTAAATCGTTCCATCAAGTTCTGAAAGCGTTCCAGAGCGCTCTGGAACGGCCGCGGAGCCCGATACATCAGCCAGAACTGCTGCATCTCTGAAGTTACGATTTGTCCCAGAAAAATGTTGTCCTTGTCGTGGCCTCGTCTCAAAAGCGAGGGAGGAGGGAGGAAGGAGGAAGAGGAGGAGGCATGTTCAGCTTGCCCCGCGCGCCTTGCGCTCTGGCGCTTCGCGCACTCCACGCCGCCGCCGCCATGGTTGTCGCCGTCGTCGCCGCGGTCGATGCTGCCATCGTCGTCGCCGCCGTCGCCGTCGCCGTCCTCGTCCTCGCCCTCGCCGCCTGTGGCTCGCAGGGCTCCCCCATCTCTGGCTAATTCAAGCGTCGCGCGGCCCGCGTTGCTTCGACCGGAAGAGGTGCGCTCTCGACCCGCGGATCAAAAGAGTGGCTCGCAGGAGGACCCCGAGGACCTGCGGACCCCCTGGAGCTGCAAGCGTCCCAGCGCCTTCTGCTTCGACGCGTTCCAGCGCCGCGCTCGACCGGCGGGCCTCGGGCGGCGGCGGCGGAGTGCCGCAGCCGGGGGCAGCGGCAGCATGGCTATCGTTGCCACCGTGGTGGCCGTGATCGTTGTCGCTGTGGTCGTTGTCGTTGTGGTCGTTGTCGTTGAGATCGCTGTCGTCGCTGTACTCGTTGTTATCGTTGTCGTTGTCGTCGTCGTCGTTGTTGTCGTATTCATCGTTATTGTCGTTGTAGTTGTGATCGTTGCTGCCATCGATATCGTTGCCGTTGTTATCGTTGTCGTTGTTATCGTTGCAATCGTTGCCGTTGGGGGACCTGCCAGGAGCATCAGCCCTGAGATCCAGGCGTTGTACTTTTTCTTGCCCCCGGCGTTTTGATTTTTGTGCGTCCAGCCATGACCCCGGTGATCGGGCCAGCCCGCCCCCCCCCCGAAGGAGGAGGAGGAGGAGGAGGAGGAGGAGGAGGAGGAGGAGGAAGAGGAGGAGGAGGAGGAGGAGGAGGAGGAGGAGGGAGGAGGGAGGAGGGAGGACGGAGGAGGGAGGAGGGAGGAGGGCGGATGGAGGAGGGTTATCGGGCCAGCCCTCTCCTCTCCGGATGAGCTGATCTTGTCGGCTGCGCGGGTCCGAAGGGGGTACGTACGCAGGATTGGTGCGCGAGGGCATGCGTGCGGCTGCCCAACGCGAAGAGGTTAGGTACGGTAGGTTTGCGTCGTGTCGACCAGCGGCGACTCCAGCGCGGGCGTTCAAGGTTGCACGCCGCCGGCGACCCAGAATCGATCGATGTTGAACGATTGGACGTTGCGGAGACGGCCGATCGTTCAAGGTTGAACGATCCCTGCGGTGTCAAAAACCAACGCTGGGGTCGGCACGACACGAACCCGCCGTAATCGGCCGCCACATCCCTCCCCCCACCCCACTGGATAAATTGGGTTATCACCGACAGAAGGACCTGTTTCCATGCTTCGCCCAGTTTTTGGGTCCGGGGGCCGGCACAGATCGATCCGGCTCTCCCTGCCGTTTGTGAGTTTTCTTTGTCATCGTCACGATTTGCCAAAGGCAGTCAAAGACGAGCGACAGCTCTGTCGCTCAAGGAGTTCTGCGAGTCGGCGTCTACTACGGAGGCGCTGGGCACATTGCATCGTTCGAGTCCGCAGGATATTCCCCTTCTCTCGAGCTAGTCCACGACGGGGTGATCTTGCACCACCCCAAGGACATCATCCATTTGCAGTCTAACCCCACCAGCCCATCCATGAGCGATGGAGAGTTGCCCTGATCAGGGATGTGGAGGAGCATGCCGTGCACTGGCTGGGGAAGCCGATATACCCAAAGAGGGGGAGGATGGATGATGATGATGATGATGATGCTGCTGCTGCTGATGATGATGATGATGATGCTGATGCTGATGCTGATGCTGATGCTGATGATGGTGATGATGCTGCTGCTGATGATGATGATGATGCTGATGATGATGATGATGATGATGATGATGAGGAGGATGAGGAGGAGGAGGAGGAGAAGGAGAGCACGAAGGGGGGGAGGAGGACGACGGGGGAAGGGGAAACTGGAGGAAGGAGGAAGAGGAACAGGCGGAGGAGGATGATGAGGTCGAGCAGACTGGCCAGAGGCTTCTTGGATGCCTCTCGGATTATCTTCGATGTCCCTTGAAAGCTGTTTGGCGTCGGGGGGCCTCTTGGCGGTCTTGGGGGCCTGTTAAAGCGTCTTGGGTGCCTCGAGGGAGCCTCTTCTTAGGGGACCTCTTGGGTGCCTCTGGGCGCCTCCTGGGGCACTCTTGACAACCTTGAGGGCCATCTTGAGGCCATCTTGGAGAAGATCGATCAAAGGAGGAGGGGTACTAAGCTAGCCCCCCCCCAGGAGGTCAACATTGGTCACACGCAATGTAACATGCTTCAGTTTTGCGTTCTAGCCGATGCCCCCTTGGACACTCCAATCGGTCGCGAACCCCCCCGTCGAGGTCCAGAGGGAGGGGGTAGGGCAAGCTAGGTGCGCTCGCGTCATATATGACATCCTACCCCTCCCTCCCATCCCTTACCATGGCGCAGATCCCCTCTCTACTCGCACAGTCGGATGTCGAGCAGGGCAATGATCCCGAAAGGGTACGCGATGCATTGTAGAGCACGGCATGGCATGGCGTAGAAGAGCACCGCAAAGCGTAGTATCAACCTAGCATTGCATTGCATGCCGTGGCATGGCACGGGAAATGACGCCAGCGCTGCAGCGGGAGCACGAGTCGAAACGAGCGGAAGCGCGGAAATGAGGCCAGCGCTGCAGAGGGAGCACGATTCGGAACGAGCGGAAGCACGCCGGAATCGGCCCGGGAGGCTTCCTGGGCGCCAGAAGCAGGAATTCAGCATTGTCAACAGAAAAATGTGTATTGGAATTGCCTTCTTTCGGCACTCGATCTTCCAGCGCCAGCCGGAACGGGCTCCGGACCCGGCCCGGGCGCTGGCCCGGGCGCGGGCTCGGGCGTCCGGCCCGGGCGCCAGCTCGGGCGCCGGCCCGGGCGTCGGAATCGGCCCGGGAAGCCTCGTGCGCCGGAAGCAGAAATTCAGCACTTTCAAAAGAAAAATGTGTATTGGAATGGCCTTCTTTCGGCGCCGCCTCGGAACTCGATTTTCCGGCGCCGGCCGAAACCGGCTCCGGACCCGGCCCGGGCGCCGACCCGGGCGCCGGCTTGGGCGTCCGGCCCAGGCGCCGGCTCGGGCGCCGGCCTGGGCGTCGGAATCGGCCCGGGACTTTGAGGCCCGCCTCAAACTATCTGAACTATCCAATAACTATTTGTGATAGGTACGTTAAGCAATCATTATGATACTATTTTATGATCATAATGTTTTGAGGAAACAAAATATTGCTTCATTTTTATTTCTTTCATAGAAAAAGCAAAAAACAAACACAACCACCACCAAAAAATAAGCAAACAAACAAGAAACACGAAAACAACAAAAACACTCGAGCAAAAACAAACAAACAAAAACACAAACATCAATAAACAAAACAAAACAAAAAAGCAACAACAAAAAAACTAACAAACAACAAAAACAACAAAACAAACAAAAACAAACAAAACAAACAGATTCACAAACAAAACAACAAACAACAAAAACAACGAACACAACTAATGAACATATAAGCAGGAAGAGGGAAGATGATAAGGAGGAGGGAAAAGGATGAGGAGGGATAGTGAAGGAGGGAAGAGGATGAGGAGGGAAGACGATAAGGAGTAGGGAGAGGGAGGGAAGAGGATAAGGAGGAGGGAGAGGATTCTGATAAATGAACACAAACAAAGAAAAATAACGAAAGGGAGAGCGAAGATGATGAAAAGTACGTCAGCATCACTGCCTTCGTCGCCACCGAATCGGAGTGGGAGGGGGCGGAGGAGGAGGAGGGGGGGATGAGGATGGGGAGGGATGAATAGGAGGATGAGAAAGATGATGCTGCATATGAGGGGTGATGGTGAGGATCATGCTGGTGATGACGATGATGTTGGTAATGTTGTTGGTGGCGATGCTGATTGCCATGATGACGCTGTTCATGATGGAAGTGATGATGAGGATCATGAGGATGATGATGGTGATCATGCTGATGTCCATGAGGCACGAGGGGAACGAGGAGGCGGAACAGGAGTAGGATTACTGCGGGAAGGGAATTGGGAGAGCAGGCCGACAGGGATCATTGGGCTAACAGGTCTCGTTGGGCTCGTATGTGATCCAGGGCCCCATAGGGCTCATCAGGCGAATAAGGGGGTACTGGGGCTCATGAGGCTCACGCTTAAGGCTCATGCGACCTGTGTCCCTCGTAGGACTCACAATATTCATGGGGGGCGTATGGCTCGTCATACTAATAGAGCGCAGAAAGCCCAAGGCTCGTAGGGCCCTTAAGGTGCATGGGGCTCGTACGGCTCATGGGGCTCGTCGGGCTCATGGTGAAGCGGGCTCGAAGGGCTAGCGGGCTGGAAAAAGGGATGGTCGTCGTCATGATGCTTGGGTCGTAAAATAATCGGCGTGGTCGTGATCGTCATCGTGGCCGTGGACGTGGTCGTGGTCGCCCTGGTTGTGGTCGTGGTCGTTGTGGTCGTTGTGGTCGTGGTCACCGTGGCCGTGATGCTCGTCGGCGTCGTCGTGGTCGGGGTCGTGGTAGTTGTTGTAGTCGTAGTCGTTGTCGTGACTGTGGTCGTCTTCGTCATCGTCGTGGTCGTGCTCGTCGACGTTGTTGTTGTTGTCGTTGTCGTAACCGTCGTGCGCGATCTCGTGTTCAGCGTGGTCGTTGTCGTAGCCGTGGTCGTGGTCATGGTCGTTGCCGTTTCCGTCGTCGTGGCAATGGTTATCGTTGTCGATGTCTTGGTCGTCGTCGTCGGGGTCGCGGTGGTCGTCGTGATCGTCGTCGCCGTCGTTGTCGTCGTTACGACCGTCGTGGGCGATGTCGTCGTGGTCGTGGCCGTGGTGCTGCTCGTGGTTGCGGTCGTGGCCATCGTCGTGGTCGTCTTCATTACCATCATCGATTTCGTTTTCGTCGTCGGCGTGATCGCGGCAGTGGTCGTGCTCGTTGTGTTTGCCTGTTTCGTCGTCGGCATGGCCGTTGTCGTTATCGTCATTGCCGCCGTGGTGGTTGTTGACGCCGTCGTGGTTGTCGCCGTCGTGATTGTGGCCACCCCTAACGTCGTGGTCGTGGTCGTGGTGGTTGTGGTCGTCGTGGTTTTGGTATTGGTCGTGATTGTTGCCGTGGTGTTGATCATGGCCGTGGTTGTTGTTGTGGTCGTGGTCAGTCGTCGTAGAGGACATCGTCGACGTCGTGGTGGTAGATGGTGTGGTCGCGGTCGTGATTGTGGTCTTGGCCAGGGTCGTGATTGCGGTGGTTGTCGTGAACCTCGTCGTCGTCCGTGTGGTTATCGTCACGGTCATGGTCATGGTCGTTGTCATTCCCCACATGCTTAGTGGGGTTATGGCTTGCTTCATTGCCGCGTCGCACCCGCGTCGTCGTTCCTCCTCCCCTC